GTGGAAATTCCCCCCCAGCCACGGGAACTCCTTTTAATCGCAATTTCCCCCCCCCCCCGCTTCCTCCAACACCTTGACCAAACGTCTTTCTTCCGACAACTCCTCGCACTCGATAAAATCGATTCAGAAATAATCGAGGGCTTTGGAGGACGAGGCGCTTCCCCCACTCGCTCCTTCCTGGCCTGGGGGGGGAGACCCGGCCCACCTCGTCCAGCCTCTTGGGTTCGACTTTTAGAGGGAAAACCCCCCCATTTTTAGATTTTTTTATTCATTTTTTGCCTTTAATATAAGCTCCCTGCAGGCTTTACCCCTCCCGGGAGGGATCTGTGCTCCCGGGGGGGCGAGGGGAGCTGGGAAGGGGTGGGAGATGCTCCTGACTGGGCTGTCCCTGCCTCCCGTTAGCTCTGGGACACCCGCGGGCTCCGGGCAACCACCCCGATGGGTTCAGGCTCTGCTCGGTGCCTTTTCTCGGGTGACGCTTTCCCCCCGTGGGCGTGGGGAGCGGGCAGGGCCGTGCCAGGGCAGAGCCGTGCCAGGGCAGGGCCGTGCCAGGGCAGGGCCGTGCCAGGGCAGCGCGCCCGGCTCCCTGCTCCGCGTCTGCTCCGCGGCCTTTCCCAGCGGTTCCCTTTGTTGTCCTCTTCTTTTTTTTTTTTTTCCCCTCCTCCTCGTACTTGGCAGCTTTTCCTCGCAGTCAAAATTTGATTTTTTATTTTTTTTTTTGTCCCTAATGCAATAGTCTGGCCAAACAATAACAGCGGCGGGGAGAAAAGGCCTGGAAGTGAAACGAAGGCTGAGCTTTTTAAACCCGGGAGTGTAAATATTCTTAGCTGGTTTAGGCTCTGTGATTGTTGTGCCTTTCAATACAAGAGTGTGGAGAGAAAAAAAAACCCTAAAATAAGGAGAAATCGTGATGAGGCTTTGCTGAACCGAGGTCCAACAAAGCCAACTTCCAGGCGAGGTTTAGAGAAGGGTTTAAGCGCTCTGAACTCCACGCGGGGTGGGGAAATAAACCTAAACTCGTGCTCTTCAACAGAGGAGTGGGTGCCCCTCGCCCTGCCCAGCTGGCACGGCCCGGGGAGGGGGGTCTCTGTCCGTCGAGAAAAGCTGCGTTCAGTTCGAAACTTCTTTAAAAAAATCCTGTTCCGGTGGAAGGTCACAGTGGTCCTTTGAGTATGAAACCGAGAGACCCCCTTCCCCCTTCCCCATCACGTGATTCATTAAATAATTAATGCAGAGGTTGCAGAATAGATATGTATTCGTCAGGAAAATCGCAGACATGGTCTCCTTGTGTCTGACGTGAAATTCAACTGTCCTTTAAAAAACAAGCCTATAGCTGAGGGGGGAAAAAAAAAGGAGAGAAAGAGCGAGAGGGAGAGAGAGAAAGAGGGGGAGAGGAGGAGAGAGGGAGAGGAGCCCGCAATAAAACAATTCTCAGGAACCACGAAGCCACGCCGAGGGCTGGATTATTGTAAGTAGCAGGGGCTTCCCAATTCCTAGCGTGTCTATATGTCCATGTAAATTTATTGTTTGTTATTAATGTTATTGTCGTAAAATGTGACAAATAGCCGTCTTCATTTCCTCCCATTTCTCTTCACATGGTGGTATGTGTGTTTATACCCATCGAGGCATTTCATTGATATTTTTAGGAATATTCCTCTCCCTCTCCCTCTCTCTCTCTCCTCACAACCTTTTTTTTTTTTTCCCCTCTCTCTTCCCCCTTTCTTGATTTATTACAATAAACATGTCAGCAGCAGTGCGGCTGCCATTGTGTGTGTGTTTGTGAGAGAGTTGTGTTGTTTATAGCGCTGTCCAAGATAAATCATTTCTCGAGTGAAAATGATGTGCGAGCGATGATATTTTAGAGCGAGGATCTCTCTCTGCCCCGCTCCCTGGAGTTGATTATTTCAGACGATTTACAGTAATAGATCAGCAGCTAATATGAAAGCTCTGTAGCTGGGGGTCTTAAATTACAGCATCTGTGATTACCAATTAAGGAGAGATTTGTATAAATTTGGGAAACCGGGAACGCCTCATTGGCATATAAACCTAGTAAAAGAGCACGACCTTAAGACAAAAATTACAGCTCGGAGTCCTGCGCTGGAGCATCCCTTTATCAACGAGAACTCATTTTCTCCCCACTTCCCTCTCCCCAGCCCCCGGGGCGCTCCTCGCTGGAGGGCACAGGTTGCTTTAGCAAAGCGAATTTCTGGAGGTGCTTCGTTTTAAACCAGATTTCGGACTTTAAACGGAAAAAAAAAAGAATTATTAGTGGAATGGAGGTTGCAGCGGGAGGGATTGGGGGTAACTCTGGCTCAGAGAGTCAGGGAGCTGCTCCCGGGCAGGACGCGCCGTTTGCCCGTCAGAGCCAGAACAATGGGGAGCTGCGGGAACTGGGGCGCTGCCGAGTGACCCCAACACGGGCGGGTTGTCCCAGGAACCGCCGGCAACAACAGAAAGGGGAACAAACTCCTTGCGGGTGGTTCGTTGAGCTTTTCCAGCAGGAGGATGACTTTGAGTGGCTTTTTGGCGCCCGGTTCCCGATGAGAGCGGGATGGGGGTGGATGGAGAGGTAGAGGATGATGTTCGTGAGGAAAGTTGGAGAAGGTGCTCTAAGGGACATCTTTCTGTGTAGGACCCCGGGCCTTTATTCACCTCGTGAAAAACAGAGCTCCGAGAAGAAATAGCACTGAAAAAAAAAGGCTTAAACAGTAACAAAACCTGGCCGGCAGCTGTTACCTTCTGTAAAACATCGCTGAGCTGGAGCAGGGAAATCTCTGTCAAGCCACTGAGGTGGGGTAGGGAGGCTGAAGCTTTAGGGGCGAGCTCTGTGTCCCAGACGGGGGGCACCGCTACCTGCTCTGCTGTCAGCGCGGGGAGCGCATCCTCCGCGCGAAACGGGAGCTCGGGGGGCAGCCGCTGCCCTCCCCTCCCGCCTCCGAACTGGACCAAATTGGTCCTGAGCGGGAGTGTTGAAAGGGAAGGAGGAAGTGGGAGATGGCGTTTTTAAATATTTTACGAGCCCCAAACATGCGAGGAGTCAATAAAACTGACAACAGGAGCAAAGATTAAATGTTCGCACCGGATTCTCGGGTGAGAATTCACCGCTTTTCCCCCCTTGCCTTCCCTTTCCTCCCCTCTGCTCGCCAGCCAAGTCTCACCCCGCCCGAGCGGGGATATTTAACTCTGTCTGCTAGTGTAAACCTTTATGTAGCAAAATTAGAAGAACTCAGCGACTTTCATTAAATATTAAGGGATATCCAGGGACGGTGACTGAGCCAGAAACACGGCATCATTCTCTGTCAAGCCCCGTATTAATTTAAGTTGTCGACTTCGAATGGACGCAGACCCCCTTCCCTCTCCCTCCCCCCTCTTTATTTTTTTTCTGTTGTATTCGATTCTATTTTGTTTCGGTTTTTTAAAGTATTTATTTTTTCCCCTCTCTGTTTGGGATGTTGAGCGTGAGAAACCGGCCCTTGGCGGGGGGGCGGCTGCGGGCTCGGTGCGGGGGATCCACCCCGCAGCCCCCGCCCCGGGCGGCGGCCCCCTTTAAATCAATACCGGGGCTTTATTTATCCCCGCTCCAGACGCCTTTGTGCGAGTGTCGTCCTTTAATAATCAGATGTCAGGAGGGGATGGGGTGGCCCAGGGCTGCCGGGTCGCTCTGGCCGAGCCTTCGTGCTGGGGACGCTGCCCCGAGCCCGGACCCGGGGGGAGGCTCCGGCCCCCAAACATGACCCTGGAGACGAGTCTCAGACCCCCGTTATGAGACTCAGAGGCAGAATAGAAGCTCAGCTCCCGGAAAACAGCTCAGCACATCCATGAGGAGAGCCCGAGCCGGGAGGGTACCCCAGAACAGGGATGGGAGCCCAAAACCCGGGAGAAGAGTCTCCAGCCTTGGAGGGGACCCCAGATCCATGACAGGACCCCAGACCCATGACAGGACCCAGATTTGGGAGGGGACTCCACACTCGGGATAAGATCAGACCGGGGAGGGGGATCCCAACCCCGGGCTGGGCTCCCTGTCCTGCTTCGTGCCTGCCCGGGGCTGAGGGAGGGGACGGGGGCAGAGAGAGGGGCTTGGGTGGTGCAAAACACCCCTGCAGGCAGGACCTGCTCCGGGAGAGCCCCGCGACCCCCCGAGCGCCTCCTCACTCCCTCAGCTCCTCGGGGCTCTTCTCCCCACCTCCCGTCAGCTCCAGCCTTCCCAAAAACCCCGAGTTTCTACCCTCTGGGGTCAACGGGGACCCGCGGGAAAGGACTTACTTTGGCTCAGAGCTGGGAAGAGAAGCCCGGAGCAGAAGCTCCTGCCCCGCGCATCTCCCGCGCATCTCCCGCGCAACCCCGCAGCGCCTCTCCCAGCTCGGCAGCTCCGGCACCTTCCCAGACCCGCCACAAACCACGAGCTGAGAGTTCCTTACCATTTCAAGCTGTCTTTCTTTATTAACTCGTGGAAAACGGGTTTTTCTAGAACCGGCCACTGTGCCTCATGGCCACGAACGGCAGGAATAAGGCTGGAGAGGCGGGAGGGGATCATTGGCCATTTCGGGTGGCTCGAGGGAGAGGGGTCTCATTGATTCCTGGGCAAGAAGCCTTTCTCCTTGCCCGTCGTCTCGTCAGAAGGTCCCGGTCCATCAGCGCTGCGAATCCGTGTTTATCACAGCGCATCCCCCAAGAACTCTCCCTCCCTTCCCCTCTCGGCCAGACGCGCCCCATTCCTCTACCCAGAGAGGAAGCGATTAACGCTGTAAATATGAGTCAACGGCACCTTAATTCATAATTTATTGCGGGCGGTAGGAGAGAGTTATTTAAGATCAAAGCGCCGCGGAGGGCGAGAGCTGCAGGGCGTGGAGAGCAGGGAGAGGAGCAGGGAAGGGGGATAACGGGAAAACTTGTGGCTTGGGCGCGGAGAGGAGCGGAGCAGGGCGGGCCGGACGCGGCAGAAGCTGTTTCTCACCCTTTTTTTTTTTAACGTGTTTTTTTTTTCCCCTGGAAAAAGGGGTCTGAGGCGGTGTTCGCCCTGCCCGACCCCCAGCATCGCCCTCGGGCTCCAGCGAGGCGGTTCGGGGCAGAACAGCCCCGCTGTCAGCCCCGTCCCGCCCGCTGCAGGCCGGGGAGCCGCCGGGGAGGGCCCGGAGCCAACGCCGACGATGCTGCCGCTTCATTTTCATGTTTAAAAAGGGAGGCGAACACAACTCCCGGGCAGTGAAGACAAAAGGGAAGGGCTCGGTGGCTTTTCGGTTAAAAAGGCAGAAGTTTGGAAACAGGGACGGTTTGCTTTGAAGTGTTTTCTCTCTCTCTCTTTTTTTCTTTTTTTTTTTTTGCGGGGAGGAGGAGAGGAGGGAGACACGAAAGAAATAAAAGGCAACTACCACGTTTCAACACTTCCCCGCGCGTAACCATCCCAAGTTGAAAAGGAGGGCTATAAATCAGAGGCGATGGTGGAGATTTGACTCCTCTTTTTTTTTTTTTTTTTTTTTTTTTTTTTTTTTTTAGCGTAGATATGAGGGGAGGGGTTAAGGAGAAATCCCCACTCGTTGCTCTTTCGTCTCCTTTTGATGTCCGACTCAATGCGAAAATATATCGGCGCTGCTTTATTGGCAGTCCTATCGAGAGGTCAGGGGAGAAGCCTGAAAACCTTCGGGTCACATTCTCCCCGAGCGTGTCCCGCTGAAATCAGTAGGGAACGGGAATCCTCGACCTCCGGGATGGGGGGAGAGGCACCGACCGTGTCCCCCCCGGCCCAGAGCCCTTCTCCTGGGAGCGGAGCCTGCGAGCCCCTCACCTGCCTCCGGGCGCGGGGCTGCGGCCTCCGCCTCCGGTCAGCTCGGGGTGAGGGTTTTTTTATGGATGGGGAGGGTTTTTCCCCCCCTTCCCTGCAGGTTTTGGGGAGCCGAGGCCGCGCCCCCGCCCCCAGCTCGGTGTTTGCTCTGCCCGCGCTGAGCTCAGCTCAGCTCCGGCTAAAAATAACCTCCGGGATCTGCTTTGGCGCTACCGGTGCCTCTCCCTCTCTGTGCTTCCAACGCGAGAATCCAAAATATTCCCCGGAAAAGGGGCGAGATTTAACGGCAGGGCTCTTTCCCGGGGCTACTGGGAAGGGTGGGGGGGGTGAAAGAAAGTAAAGAAACCCGGTGGGCTTTGCATAACTTTTATTGCCCCCCTTTCTCTCCCTTTCTTCCCTTCTTTCTTTCTTTCCTTCGTTTTTTCGCCTTTCCCCGGACGAGACATATGGAATCAATTTTGAATCCTGACATTGAAGGCTGGCCAATTCCTACTGGCTCTAAAAACCAGAATCCATTTGGTTCCCTTCTCTCCAGCACCCCTTGTCACTCAGTATTACAACCCTCTTGCAACATTTTTAAGTCTTTATAAAGAGAAACAGCTTTCCAGATAGATACCGAGGATTCGGCACTGGGGGAGGTTTTTCGGGGGCTTTTTCTTTTTTTTCTTTTTCTTTTTTTTTTTTTTTAAAGGAGAAGGAGCGCGCACCCCCCTCCCGACACCCCCATCTCAGCCCCCTCGGCTCGGGCTCCTCATCCTTGCCGTGCTTTAAAAGCTCTTTTGGAAGACTTTCTGGTTTTCTCCACGTCGAGTCGGTTCCGTTTGAATCGAACGAGTCAAAAAAAAAAAAAAAAAAAAAAAAAAAAAAAAAAAAAAAAAAAAAAAAAAAAAA